GAACCTGCAGCACTCAAGGTTCCTAAGAGCATTTTGTCCTCGTCTTTGGCTTTCAGTCAGAGAACGGAATGAGCCGTCGGAAAAAAAATCCCAGTGATGTGTGAGGGCTTGGATGTGTCAATGACTTCATCAGTATGGAGCCCGTTACCTTGACCTTCCTCTGCCTGATTCTACCATTGAATCTGTACATACAGTACAGTGTGATGATACTGTCACAGTACTACTACACAGTACTGCACTCTGTCAGGTGGTGTGCAGTTTTAAAGGACAGGCAAAGACATCTGTCTGAAGTTGATTTTAAAATATATTTCATGTGAAACGTGTCAACAAAAGGAAATTGAAGAAAATATAATTGTTGTATTGTATTGTATAAAGCAGGAGCTCATGTTTATTTCTTACAGTTGTCTTGTAGAAAGATTTTACATCTGTGTGTGTGTGTGTGTTTAATTCCGCATCTGCAAGTGCTATGCAATTCTGATTGCAAAAGAAATAAGAGGGCAGTAAATGTCACTTTAATGAAGGTCAACAATTTCGGATAGATAAGGAGGCATTATTAAAACTAACAGAAGTAGAACAGGAAGAAAAAAGATGACGACAAAGCAGAAAATGAATGAGAAGAGAAAAACAAGAATAAAAATTAAGAAAAGAAGAAGCTGGACGTGAATAAAAAAACACCAAAGTCCCATCCCTCATTTAGTAAATGAGCACTTTAATGAGAACCTACAATAATGAGCTAACGGGAACCTGCCCTTTGTCATGTTTACTCTGGCGTAAGTGCTGAATTATCATGTACATTTGATTAGCATAACTGATGAGGCTGCTGGATTAGAGTGGGACTGAGACGGGCACGTGAAGAAGACGAGTCCACTGTGGACAGATGCTGCTGCTGCTGCTGCTGCTGCTTCTGCTTGCATCATTCCCAAGAAGACTCATGGCTGTACAAGCTCAAAAGGGTGCTTCTACTCAATACTGAGCAAAGGGTCTGAATACTTAGGACCATGTGATATTTCAGTTTTTCTTTTTTTAATAAATTTGCAAAAATTTCTACATTTCTGTTTTTTTCTGTCAAGATGGGGTGCTGAGTGTACATTAATGAGAAATAAAATGAACTTTTTTGATTTTAGCAAATGGCTGCAATGAAACAAAGACTGACAAATTTAAAGGGGTCTGAATACTTTCCATACCCACTGTATAACGTTACATTAGCTAGGCTTAATCATCTTAAGGAAGATAAAAAAATACTGTATTGCAGCAAATGAAATCAAATCCTACAAATGAGGCAAGTTACCACTTGCCACACACACACACACAAGCACACACACGTACCTTGCAGGTGATATCCAGGCCATATGAGTTTTCACCTCTGCTGGATGCCCCACCCATTTTCTCAACTCGACTAACAGTGCCCAAGGGAACGTCGAGCGTCACCGTCACATCCTGAAAAACACAGTCAGATAATAATCATGACTTGCAAAAGCACAGCACCACCAATATGATATTCTCCAAATGTTAGAGGTTAAACAAAAACTTGAAGACGTTACATCAAAGTTGGATCAGCCTGTAGAGTGTTTTTCCACTTTAATTTTGAGTATAACTCCAAATCCAGACCTCCATGGGTTGATACATTTGATTTTCATTGATAATTTTTGTGTGATTTTTGTTGTCAGCACATTCAGCTATGGAAAGTATACAAAGTATTTATTAAAAATATTTCATTCATTCAGATCTACAACGTGTTACTTTAGTGTTCCCTTTATTTTTTGAGCAGTGTATTTGTTTGTGGTGCAAAGAAAAGTTGTGCTACATATGAAACTAATGGTAAATATATACACAGAATACACAGTTCGGAAAGTGTGCTGAGATAAACTATAAGGTAAATATAAATATAAATATAAATGTAAACATAATGGTAGTGACAAATGTACCAGGATGGAGTTAATATAAATATAAACAGCATCAAGTGATAGAAATGTAGGAGGAACAGGAATAGATAAATAATAGTGTTGGAGCTAGTTCACAGAATTTGTACAGGAAATATTGCACAGTGAAATTGCACTCGATTGCTCAATAGTATTGCTCAGTAGTATAGCATTTTTTTTTTTAAAGACAGTCCATGGGTAGTTATTTGGTATTTAACAGTGTGACCTGGTGGAGGCCCTTCTCATCCGTCTCAGGAAATGTAGGTGCTGCTGTGCTTTCTTCACCAGGGATGTGGTAAGAAAGCCAGTGACCGGCGGAGGTCGTCTGTGATGCGCACCCCCAGGAACTTGTCATCAATGAGTAGCAGTGTTTGGCTGGGTTGGGATCTCCTGAAGTCAATGATGATCTCCTTTATCTTCTCAATGTTCAGAAGCAGGTTATTTGTTTGACACCAGTCCACCAGATATCGTACCTCCTCTCTGTAGGCCAGCTCATTGTAATCCTGAATGAGGCCCACAACTGTAGTGTCATCTGCATACTTAGTATGTGGTTGTGGTTGTTGTTGTTGCATTGGGCAACAGTCATGAGTCATCAGGGTGAACAGCAGGGGATCAGGTGCACAGGGAGATGACACTGGATGTGTTGTTGCCCTCTCGGACAGACTGGGTTTTGTCAGTGCGGAAGTCCAGCAGCCAGTTGCACGGGGGGGGGGTTAAGCCCCAGGAGGCCTAATTTGCATATCAGGTCCTGGGGGATGATCGTGTTGATTGCTGAGCTGAAGTCCAGTCCTCAGTGGAGCGGTTAGGCTGGTATAGGGGCAGTACGGAGACGATGTGGTCCTTAACCACCCTCTCGAAACACTTCCATGATGGTGGGTGTTAGTGCAACAGGGCAAAAGTGGTTAAGGCGTAAAATGGTTGGTTGAATTCTTTGGCACTGGAATTGACGGTGGCTGACTTAAAGCATGATGGGACAACGGCCTGGTTCAGTGACGTGTTGAAGATGTCAGCAGTGGGCCAGCTGGTCTGAACACTCCTTGATCAGCAATCCTGGGATGTTATCAGGACCTGCAGCTCTCAGTGCATTGACCTTTCTCGGAGCTCTCCACACAGTACTGGTTTCCAGCCTGAGGACCTGATCATCAGGGTGGGTGGTAGCTTTCCTTGCTGGCGTGTTGTTTAGAGCTTCGACTCTTAAGAAGTTGTTGAGTTCATTAAGGAAGCTGATGTCATCCTGGCAGGGTGAAGGTACGGCTTTGTAGTCTGTGACAGATTTCCTGCCACAGTTGTCTGGTGTTGCTGTGGTCATGGAAGAAACGCTTAAAAAAAAACAGGAGTGCAGTGCAGGACATCATGTGATGTCAATGCAGCAGTACACACTACAGTGGTATACTGCGTCCCGCCCACAAGCACAAAATAAGCGTAAGTGTAGTTTCCTTTTCAGTTGTGAGAGGAAGACAAAGTTGAATATATGCTAATTATTCTGCCAATCATACTGTATTTTCTGGACTATAAGTCGCACTTTTTTCCATCCTTTGGCTGGGTTTTACGACTCACTCAGGAGTAGCTTATATATTCAAATATATAATTTCACATGTTCATCATGTTCACACTGACAGCCGCTAAACTCCGGAGCAACTCATATATGTTTTTTTATGTTCACACTGGTGTGACTTAAACTCCGGAGCAACTCATATATGTTTTTTCCTCTACGTTATGCATTTTTTGGCCGGTGCGACTTATTCTTTGAGTGATTTATAGTCCTGTAAATATACTGTTCGTTTGGAATAATCATGATTTCAAAAAGAATCAAAATAATCATGATGATTATGATTTTTGCCATAATCGAGCAGCCCTAAAAATCTTACACTGCCTGGTACAGAGGTAAGCAGCTGTTGAGCTCTGAAACAAAAAAACTGAGCTTCAGCTCATTCATTTATGCATAAGGGAGCTGGCAATAGAGCTGGACAGATCATCATACACAGCCAACATCGACTACTTAATTAGAGTACGCTTCCCTGCTGCTTTACACTGGTCAGTTTTACCTTTCCTTTTAGGGAGAATGTTTAGCTATTAGCTGAGGCATGAAAACGTGAAAAATGTCACATAATCAGTAGTTGCCCTATGACCTATGAAGAAGGTCCTGGGTTCGAGGGTTGCATTAGCTCTGCTGTTAACATCTGCTTCCACGGTGTGTGATCAATGTAATGTAATGAAATAAAAGATATACATTATACATATATAATGTATATCTTTATATCTTTACAAACACTACCTTTTGCACAAAAACTTCAACTACAGCGAGAACAACTGCCTATACTTCTTAACCATTAAAGTCATTAAACAAATGTTAACTTTCCGGGAAATTAAATCAATTACATTTTTTAGACGCCAACAATCCTCCTACACAGTTAAAAAAAAATACTACAGAAACAGATGCAAGATTTTATTAAAGTGGGTCCTACTGTATAGAATATCAACACAAATTGCTGTGAGTGGAAAAACGATAAAGAGAAGAACAAATTCACTACCCAACAAATGAAAAATGTAATCGGAAAAGTTTACGGACCAAAATGTGAAAAATGAATTTGGCGGCCTAAACTTCAAATTCCTGCAATTTACTGTTGACTGATGTTGATATGAACTACGGCTGTCAATCCTGCCCTCAAATCAAATTCAGATGTCTAATGCTTGTTACGGTCCTCATAAGTTTACATACCCTGGCAGAATTTCTGCTTTCCTGGTCATTTTTCTCTTCTTTCACTCATGGTTAGTGCTTGGGTGAAGTCATTTATTATCAAACAACTGCGTTTACTCTTTTCAAATCATAATGACATAACAACAGAAACTACACAAATGTACCCTGATGTTTGATCGTTTGTGCGTAGGTTAGACACAAGTTGAACGTTAGTTCCAACGTTTGATTGTTATCATTTTTAATACAAGTAAGAATTCTATTCAAATAGTGAAGTTCATTCTGACAGCCCTAATACAAAGCATTGATGACCTCAGTCACAAAAAGAATGCTCCTTTTACACGTGCACTGGGATGTTGTAACGATTCACCTGGTCTAAAATGATGGCCTCAGTGCGTGAAACAACTACAGGGCCTATGAGAAGATATGGATACATCAACGTATCGCAATATTTTTGCTTCACGATGCTCGATATTCTACAGCACTGTATTATTTTAAGTTAACAATCAACATGCAAATATCCATGACGTTTATTTTTGCTTTAATTTCTTCTCTAGCTATTACAAATGTAGATCCCCCTGTAACAGCATGTAACAGCGTTGTGTGTCTATATCCTTAGTGTCGCAGTGTATTGCAATATATCGTATCATTGCTCTTCTATCCTGCTACATATTGTATCACCAGATTCTTGCCAATACACACCACAGACAACTGTTACTGCAGTTAGCAGTGAACATAGGTTCGCAGGGAGCAAACATATGTTTAAACTCCCTTGTTTACAAATGTATTGAAAACGTGAATATCCTCCTACTATAACAAATGCAAAAGTGCAATCCATTTTTATTGAATATGAGTTAACTGTGGACAACATAATAACATCAAATATTTTAATCGATTGAAATCTAGTTCATATAGGTACAGTTTAAATGTAGGTGAAACACACTGACACCTTGGGGCCTTGAAGACATAAATCACATCAAACTGGACTGGAGATAAAAAAAAAAAAAAAAAAAGGAATCACGAATCACCGCGGCAATAAGTCAGACTCTTCTGGTATTTTTATGTCCTAAATTATGATGTTACCACTGTGTTAGCATAAGTGTGTGATACAGGTACTTACAGTATGTACAGTATCAGTTCCAACCTACAGCAAAATTTACATTACAAAAGTTGTTGCACCGTAGGAAGAGAGTTCGTATATAAGTCGAGGACCCGCCGTATTAGTTTTGATGAGGTTTTTTTTTTTTTTCACTGTATATCAAAATATACTCATACTATTACAAATGAGTGTCAGAAGTCAACGTAGCTTTAGTTAGTTTAGAAAACATTTTTCACATTCGTTTTGATGTGAATTTATACAAGGCTTTAGGTTGTTAATACCACAGCAACACATTTCATCATTTTTGAGGCACGTTCTTTGTCTTTTAAATACCAATTTCTGGCGTTTGCCAATCCGACAAGTTAACAACATTAACATTAACAACAAGTTGGGGCAGTGGTGGTTAAGGAAGCGAACTTGGGACCGCAGGGTTAGGGTCAGATTCGGGTCCATCAGTTCCCACACACACACTGCTCCCTAGGCGCTTTAGCTGCCCCCTGCTTACTTTGGTGATGGGTAAAATGCGTTCACATTTCATTTTGTGTGCAAAAGAGAAAATTATGAATTGAACACATTTACCTTAAATAAATAAATAATTGAATTCTTGGCAGAGGCGGTAAGACTTTGGAATAGTAGTATAGTTAATAATAAATGTCAAAAGAATAATACGTAACAAAGAAATGGCAGTAATAGTGATATACTATGGTACGAAAACTATTTTGTAAAATTGAGGAAATTATGAATTGAACACATTTACATTAAATAAATAAATAAATAATTGAATTCTTTGCAGAGGCGGTAAGACTTTGGAATAGTTGTATAGTTAAAAATAAATGTCAAAAGAATAATACGTAACAAAGAAATGGCAGTAATAGTGATATACTATGGTACGAAAACTATTTTGTAAAATTGAACTGAAGTTTCATCTGAAAACGTTTCTTCCATAGGTAAAATATTAACCAGGTCATGAATAATTCAAAGTAAATGAAAACCACTTCATTTAGATCCCTGCCATGAATATTGTAGAGCAAGGCCTTTTAAATAATAAAACAGGGACCAAACACTACTTGGCTAAGAAGCACTTGTAATAAAGACACAGTATGACACTTGCCTATTATTCTGTCCTCTCCGGGCAGCAGAAGGACATCGGCCAATAACTCCATTTTGAGGAACTCTCGAGACGTCTGAAAACACATACAAGATCAATTATGTGACGCTGTTGTTTGGTCAGTTTTTAAAGCTGGGAAGCGGGAAAACAAAATACGTTTCTGTCTTTCTGTGAACAGAGCCAATACTAGTGTCTGTCACTGAGGTTCTAATCGTATTTAAGTTCTAATTCTATGTGATTTTTTTTAAAAAAAATTAAATCACATTGTAAGAACAATTTATTACCTTGGCTTAATTATTTTGATCATCGATAATAAGTCCTGCAAACAAATTTCAAATGTTATTTAGATGTACATAGTTACTTTTACCGCTTTACTGATTAAATCTTTATCATCTTATCAGATCCTTTATTTGATGATGCGATAAAAGGTTTTACTCCCATCATTATTATAATGATAAGTAATACAGAAGAAAACCAAAAGTTGTATTATTGCTTAGATATACAGTATCTTCAGCAGAACTCTTCATCTGTGGGGCCTATAACAAACGGATCAACGTGCAGTGTTTGGTGTTTGCCAACATATTGTTAGTTTGACAGCCATCACTCATCAGACCAAAGAACCTTTTTCCCCAATTGACTCTGGAGTGTCCCAAAGCGGGCTTACTCCAGTTGAGATTTTATTTGATCTTTATTCAACAGTAGCATCCTTTCTGCCACTTTCCCCATTCAGTTTTGATGGTGGTGAAGAACCCAGGCAACAGCTGCAGTACGCACAGTCTCTTCAATTTCAGCTACTGAAACTTTTAACTCCTCCAGTTGCAGGTGTCTTGGTGACCTTCTTTCTTTCCCCGTCACTCAGTGGTTGACTTCTTTTGTAGCCATTCCCTAACTTTCACTTATATAACCTTTTCACAATAACCTTTCCTCAGAGTTCCTTAGAGTGTACTAATGACCGAGTCACTGGACATTCAAGACCAGAAGTGTCCTATACAGAATAAAGCCCCTTGAGACTCACTGACCGCACTTAGGTGATCTCCATTACACTTGCAAGAATGCTAGCATTTAATAGCTGCATGGTCTTAGCCACTTAAAACTGAGTTCACATTTATGCAAAAAATGTATTTTACCCAGTTTATTTTACCCAGTTTTAATTCATTTACATTGCCATGTAAGTCAATTAAAACTGTTTTCACGCTAACATGAACAAATTGCTTTCTGTAGATTCTTGTCAAAAAAAGCCAAAATTATATTGAACATAATTTAGAGAACATATCCTCTACGTAACTGAAATAAATGCCTCTGCACCCAGAAGCACATATGCCAGAAAGGTAATGTTGCCAAGCCCCAAAAGGAGAGGTGGCAGCAGCACAGGATAAGGCAGTGGCAGGTTCACAAATACTGCCAAAAAAAATAAAACAAAGCACAACTGGGCAAAACGTTATAACACTGTTACTAAGGCTAGGTGCTGAACTTTGGTTCTTTTATGTCACTGACCGAAATGCTTCGGTAGTATCGATAGTAGTATCAAAAATGCCTGGTCCTTCGGTACCCAGATAATCACATCATCAAGATCTCATCATGCTGCCAGCGATTGGCTGTAACATTACACATAATTACGGCATGTATGAAAAATTAAGTTTTGGGGTTACCAAAAATGTTTTGCCTACATAGGGGGTTCGCTCGTATCTGTGTTAAAAACTGTAGTTGTGAAGCGAGCTGAAGCCTGCGACATATATACGTCAGTGATGTTTGGACGTGGGTTGGATTTTTCTGAAGAACAACTGTTGTGAAAACAACTGTCGCAGTGACCATTACGCACTGACCTGTCCGAAATTACTTGTTTATTTTATTTGTAAGAAAACTCCTATAACAAATACCAAAGCTGAAAAGCAAAATTGACAATTTTACCGTAGTGTGCAATGCAGTTTTTGTTAGAATTGATATTATAAAATTGATATCTAAAAGAAGTACAGTTCAATGACCGGTGTTAAAATGAAGGTATTTAGACCAGTATCAAACATTTTTTGGTTGATACCCAGCTCTTGTAGGTACGTGCGTTGAGTGCAAGTTAATTTTTTATATTAAAATTAAAATTATATAAAAAAAAAATTAAATTCTATACAAAATAATTTAATTCACATCATTAATTGTTTTTTTCTTGGGGTTAAAAAACAAATATTATTTATATTTCAAAAAAATGTGTCTGTAATTACAACCAATCATTAAATTTTGATGTTCAATAAATTACTTTTTAGAAAGTACATTCCTTGTCCTAATGGAATCACCTACACTCAAATTACACACGTGATTACATATAGAATTACCGCTATGGACTAGTACTCAGTCGCTGCCTGACATAGAAAAAAACTTTTACCCTTTACGAACCTCCCCCACACTGTTATCAACCCTCCCTAGACTGTATTACCCTTTCCCACACAATTATATGCACAGTAGAGTTGTAGAATGGAAATATAAGACATACATATTATGTAAATAAATTAAATACACATCCATGAAAAACAATATAAAATACATTCTAACTATAAATTCAAAATCAATGTACATGCACATTATGGGGGCACAGCAGAGGTTAGCGCTCAGCTGCAGAAGGGAGAGCACGGGAGTAGCGACGCAGGTGCAGCCCCGGACGCAGGTGAGTACAATTGGATTAATCCAGCCTCTCCTTATATTAGCAGGAGCCGAGACCAAGGAGAGAGGAGAGCGAACAGAGGAATGACGTAAAAGAAAGCCGGGCGCAGCGCAGGTGCGCACGTTATTGTAAAGAAAAATAAAGGCTGTTAACTGTCAGCTCTGTCAGTGTCTTCATTTGGGCTTCTTTAGGCACCGTAGAGCGTTAAATTAGGGTAATCTTTCACCAAACACAAGAGCGCAAACTTTACAGACAAGGGGAGATGCTGAGAGATGCAACGATGCATGGACCAATCAGCGTGAGGAATACAATGCTGTGTTCGATCTCCTCTAGGTAAACAAAGCTACCAGCGATGTCTTTTAGTTTATTTTTTTATATATATTTTTACTGTTTAATTTTTTAAGGTTAGGAAATGTTTTTTATCACGAAAATAATGAAAATATTGTTAATAAAAGAATATTGACCGTAGAATACTGCGATATAGTGAAATTCTCTTGCGAGATTGGAATAAAAAAAAAATGTGAAATTCTCTTGCGGGATTGGAATAAAAAAAAAATCTACTGAGGGAGTACTGAAAGGAGTACCACGATATAGAGAGAGACCACTGT